AAATTATTCATAACCAGCTGTCGCTGCGCTATAAACCTATTATTCATAAAAGATTCACTATATGTCTATGCAAACCTAGTATAAATAAAGCATTAAATATCAAGTCTCGCAAACGGCTACCTAAGGTATTATCTGTATGTCTACGATAATACATGCAATCAACACACGCATTCGGTGAAAAACTACTCGAAGGCTCTCCTATCCCTGTTCTAATTATTAAAACGATCTGTCAATCAATTCTAACAATAACAAATAGCAACATAAGTTAGCTACGCTCATGCACTAAATAAAATCAAGATAGAAGAAATAATCGAAGAATTAAACTTGCATAAAAGTAGAAAAATAGGTTCGAATTACCACATAGGGTTCCAATAAAATCCTAGAATAAAAACTTAGCTACTCATGTTCGTTACGGAAAACATAATAAAAATACGAAAAATCATAAAAACAATAAAAGAGGAGAACTATGATGAAGAGTCGTCAAGTCTTCGTCTTCGTTCTTGCTCCTTGATTGCGTGTCGAAAGATAAAAACTAAAAACTAAAATAAAGATGAAAGGTAAAAAGATCCAAGATAGGTCTAATTGTGTGCTTGTGGCCTTTAAATAGGGTGCAAAAGTCTAATAGGGCGGGTTTCCTTGTATAATTGAGTTCCCTTCACTGCGCCATCACGTCCACCCGGACGGCCGTGTGAGATTTTGAACTAAAATCCGCACGGCCGTGCGGTCTTTAATTCTCCAGATTTCTGATTTTTTCACTTTTGGCCCACTTTTGCTCTGAATTTGCAGTTTTCACCCCAAAAGTTGCCAATTCTTCAATTTGCACCTAAAATACAAATAATAGCCATATTAAGCACCAATTATCGTAAAAACACATCAAAAGCTCCAATTAAAAGGTACAATTAAGTGTATAAATATACACTTAACAATCACCCTGCTGTATATTTCACCGGATGTTGCATCTACAAAACCACTCCAGATTACTGTTGGATCTTCATATATACTCTCTATGATGGAAGAGGGATTGACCTAAACCTATAAACAAATGAGTCTTCACTCAAGCAAGAAAAGCAAGATGGATTTAATTCTCTGCACCTTATTTACTATATTGATCATTATAAAAAGTTCCATATAAATATTTAAACGTTTTTCCTTTAATTTGCTACTCTTAGGGGGATTTTGTATCACAGTATAAAAACGAACTTATAAAAATTGAAATCAAGTATGATATAATTTGGGCTTAATTCCACTTTGCACCCTTGAAATATACCATTTTGGCACTTTGCACCCTCGAAATAAATTAATAGCACTTTGCTCCCTCGAAACACAATATATCAAGCATAATGCACCCCACGTGAGTTTTTAAAGCTAATAAATGTAATTTAATATTTATAGTGGTATTTAAAAATTATATTTTTATCACAAAAAAAATTTATGAAAAAAAAAATCCTTAAACTATTTCGTTATCAAGTTATCTAAAAATCATATTTTCTTCTAAATATTATACCTAACATTTCCATTTTCCACCAATTACAATTAATGATCTATCAATCAAATAATTTTGTGATAAAAGTTTATTTGATTTTATTTTGTAAGAAAATATAACATTTTCCAATTATCCGGTGTGATTTTCATTTTTCGCACTTTGTGCGCTCGAAATTAGGTTGAAGTTGAAGAAAATAACAATTTAATTTGTTATTAGCACCGCGCAAAAAAAAAAAAAAAAAAAAAAAAAAAAAAAAAAAAAACTAATAAAAAATGAATTATCCTTTATTATTCAATTTAGAGTGCATTGAGAACGATTTATTGTGTTTTGAGGGTGCAAAGTGCTATTATTATTTTTCAAGGGTGAAAAGTGCCAAAAGGCTCCATATCATCAGCATATAATTGTTGAACAAGATCACACGTATATGCTTGTTTGGGTATATTTGTAAATTTCGGGAAAATTACATTTTTCGTCCTCATACTTTACCCACTTTTTCAAAACTGTCCCTAAACATTTTGGAGTTACAATAGTAGTCCTTAATCATGCCATTTTTTGACAGAATTGGTCCGCTGTTAATTTTTGCAGTTAAGTTGGATGGAAAATGCCATGTGCCTCACACATGCCTTCAATACACAACACTACATGAAAATGGACTTTTAACAAAACGCATTGCGTCTTGTTAAAACATATTTTTCATAATTAAAACTTAATTGAAATTCGAAATTATATAAATTCCAAAAAAACAAAATCGATATATATATTTTTTAAATATTTTGAGAAATATTCTTTAAACAATTGAAACTGTTTTAAAAAAATGAAATATTGAATTCAAAATCAAGATTTTCGGAAATCAAATGAAAACATTGTTTCAAGATAAAATAAAAATTCGATCCGAATAGGTGGGATAAGAAACCTCCATTTCAATCTTCACCCTAATTTAATAATGTAAAACTCGATAAATTGTTTCAAAATATTTTTAGAAGTATTGTCTAAAATAATAATATTATGTTTTAAAACTTGGATTTCTTGAATCCAAATGAAAATTATTGTTTTAAATAAAAGAAAAATCTAATCGTAATAGGCGGAGGAAGAAAACTCTGTTCCAATTTTCGCCCTTATTTAATAATCTACAACTCGATATTTTTTTTCAAAATAAATTTAGAAATGTTGTTTAAAAAATAAAAATATTGTCTAAAAAAAATAATATTGTGTTTTAAAATCGGAATTTTTGGAAATTGAATGAAATTATTATTTTAAAATAAAATAAAAATTCGATCAAACTAGGCAGCATAAGAAAACTCCTTTCCAATTTTCACCCATTGAATGATTTAAAACTCGACATATTGTCTCACAATTGAGATTTTTTGAATTGACTAGAGGTGAAAATTGGAATGGAGATTTCTAATTCCCCAATTCCTATCAGGTTTTTTATTTGAATTCCAAAAATGCCGATTTTGGAACAATATTATAAATTTTTAAACTATATTTTGATTTTTTAAACAATATTTCCGAAACGAGTTGATTTTTTTGGAATTTACGTGATTTCGATTTTATATTAAATTTTAATTAAAAATAATAATTATAAAAAATACGTTTTAACAAGACGCAATGCGTTTTGTTGAAAGTCCATTTTCATGTAGTGTTGTAAATTGAAGGCATGTGAGAGGCACATGCCATTTTCCATCCAACTTAACTGCAAAAATTAACGGCGGACCAATTATGTCAAAAGATGGCATGATTAAGGACTACTATTGTAACTCCAAAATGTTTAGGGACAGTTTTGAAAAAGTGGGTAAAGTATGAGGACGAAAAATGTAATTTTTCCGTAAATTTCAATTTTATATATTTTATAGAGTAAATTGGAAAAACTACCCCTGAGGATTCCTCAGTTGATAAAAATAGTCTCTGTGTTATAAAAATTAGCAAAAATCTCTCTGTATAATTTTTTTTATTAACGCACTGCACCTATTGTAATTTTAGTCATTGAAAAGAGATGAAAAGACGAATGCAATTTTACTAAACTTCTGAAACTTAAATTAGGGGATTGAATTGTGATTTTTTCAGTACATTATTAAACCTAGGTTGAAACACACACTACGCATACCATCACTGCCAGCCTTCAGAAATTCCAATCTGCCACCAACCTCGCCTCCGCCAACCAATCATCATTCACTAACCGTCTCAAATCCTCCAAAATCTGCCGCCAACCTTCTTCACGAAATCCACCGCCGCCACTCCTGAAAATACATATCTCTAACAAAGTCCACCGCCGGCGATCTCGTTAAAGATGAAACCACACAACAATCACCAAATAAATCGAAAGAAAAATGGAAGTTCGAAGTTTTGAGAAGCGTGCGATTGGTAAGGGTGGTTGGAGAGAGAAGCCCGTTTCATAGAACCATGATTTTCCGGTGAGGGGGATTCTACACAAACCACCTTCACCTACTTAGACTTTTAATTACAGGGGGCTTTTTGCTAATTTATATAAGGGTAAATAGCACTTAACCCCTGTAGTTACAAGCTTTTGCAGATCACCCCATGTGCCCGTAAGATTAGCACATAACCCCCTGTAGTACAAGCTTTTGCAGATGATGCCCTGTGCTCGTAAGATCAGCACATAACTCCTTGTGGTTTATGGAAATAACTTCCATTAGTTTTGCCGTCAAACTTAACCGCGTGTATCAAACTTTAAAGGGGTCATATGTGAAAATGAAAGTGAAAATGAAAGCACAAGGGGGTCATCTGCCAAAAAAATGCTTTGATGTTTGACACCGGCGATTAAGTGTGACGGAAAAACAAACGAAAGCTACCCCATCAACCACATATATTAAAAACATAAGGGAGTCATCTACAAAATCTTGTAACCACATGGGAGTGGAGTGTTATTTTTTTCTTATAGCACAGGGATTTTTTTTATTAATTGAGGATTAGAGAAGGGTGGTGTTTGCAATTTACTAATATTTTATATATACGACAAAGCGAGTGGTGACATTATTGCAATATTCGTTAAGAATTAATTAATTGTTATATGAATTTTATATTGTACACTAACTATATCAATAATATTTTTAATTACCAAAAATTATATTGACATTAATTAGTCAATTGTCTATGCCAATTCATGTTTACACATCTCTCAACATAAACATATTACAATATATATATATTATATATATATATATATATATATATATATATATATATATATATTTCTAGTCCCGAAAAGGATATAAGTCTAGCGGTTGAAGTAAGTGAGTCTGTGTTCGTTGATTCAGATTTGAATCTCCTTGTCAACGGTTGCTAAATGGAGCTTGTCATATATGGTTAGCCTAGATGTGATTTACATCTCTAATATTATTTGCAAGCTATTTTACGAAAGTATCAGTGCACCTATATAATTAGTTGCGGGTTCCTTTAGTAAGGAAAAAAAAAACATAGCAAACAATTTCAATATTTTATGTTGTCACAACTCACACGTATATGATCATACATAAAACAAGGAAATAATAATAAAAACTCAAAAGCACAAACATTTCCACGCAACTAAAAGGCTCAGAAACAATACATGAATCCCAACCCTACGATGAGAAGCAGCCGAGTTGAGCCTAATATCATTTCTCTTCACCTTGAGACCCGTTCCATCAACCTCCACGTCAGCACCAATCCTCACACCCTTCTTCTTCGAATACCACATCCCTTCCCAAAACTTCGGCGGCACCGCCAAGTCAACCCTAAAAACCACCGTTGACCCATTTGAAACCGCCTTCACAGCATCCTCCCACGGCACTCCTCGGCTCTCCACCACTTCCCGCCGGTAGTCCACCTCCCACGACCCCTGGTCAAAGCTCCGAACTACGTAATTCGCAACGGCGTTGTTTCGGCCGTACGAGAATGTAAGATTTGCATCTCCGTAGCGTACGATGTGCTCGTTTTCGATGTTTACAAATGCGAAATCAAAGAATAGACATGGGTTAATAGGTAAGGTATTATTATTATTATTGTTTGAAGTAGTTATGGGTGATTGGGAGATGAGATCGAGGGCGGGAACGTAAAATTCTTTGATGTAGAAGCGCGGGCCTTGGTGGAGGTTGACCTCTAGGGTTAGGGCCGCGTAAATGGAAATTACGACTGCAACGGTAACGAGGAAGTATAAGACGACAACAACGTATGCATTCATTGTTGGTGATCTATTAATTATATAAGGATGAGTCTGTGGAGAAGAAGCTATATATTATAGACTATAGTTTTATCTTTGCCAACGTGAGATACAAACTTTCTATTTTGTTAGAACAAAGGTACATGTGCTGAAATCTTCCCGCGGTCTGTTGACTTTGACTTTATCTTATTTATTTTATTTTTTTTATTTTATGGGAAAATGTGTTGAAAAATATGTGATCGTCTGATCGATACATCCCCCAATTCAATATTTAGGAATTTCAATTTTTTTTTATACGAGAGAGTTAGGGTTGACATTTTGATAGTATTTGTAGGTGTTTAACCAATTTTTATTATTTGAATCTTGTACCGTACGCGTAATTATATAGTGAAATTGCAGACTCACCCCCTCGTAGTTAAAAAATTGCCCACGAATCCCCTGCTAGATGGTTCCTCTTAGAATAACTAACGGAGCGTGCGAAAAGTTAATTTTACCCTCATTTTCCAATTTTGGTTAACTGAAAAAACCGGAAAATAGAGAAATTTCACTACTTAAATTAGAATGATGAGAAAGCTGTAAGGGTATTTTGTTGGGAAAATTGGTTAAAAATTGAGTCATGAACAATTTTTTATCAATGTTATTGTACGGTCTAATTAAGTATATGAATGAATTTTTGATTAGAACCAATTTTGTGGTGAATGAAAAATTACTAGTCCAAATATAAGGAAAGTAGGATTTTGAGTTATCCCACATTGGAAAAGTAGAGAAGTACTGAGCTGTATATATATCAAAAACATTAGGTCATGGGCTTTTAACCCATTGGGCCCTTATTACTCGAAGCTCATCTCGATTGGTCAGACTGATCTGAATTGGTGCGGCCGAACCAATGCAAACCATTCGGCTCAACTCGAAATGGTGCAACCAGTCCCAATTGGCCGGCTCAACTCGAAATGGTGCAACCATTCAAACAAAAGGTACCTTTGAAATGGTGCAACCATTCAAACAAATGTACCTTTTTGCTCCAAAGGACACTACTTTTCGAACCTTATAAATAGACCATAACTTTCCCACAATTCCTCACTTCAATCCAAAAATAAGCCTACTGCATATTAAGCCTACCCTTCACAGATTCTCTTGAAAAGTTCTACACAAAGTACAGTTCGTCGTACTTGGGATTTGGAGTGCTCCTATTCCAAGCCTTGCCTTTGTATCTTGGGAGACGATTTCCATTTAATCCGTTAGCACCGTTGCGGGGAAATTTCGTCTTAAGGACAGAGTCAACTCGCCTCGGCAAATTTACGTTCATTGCAGATAATCTTTTCGTATTTTCACTAATTAATTTGTTCAACCAATTTACTAAACTCACTACCCGTTTTATGTATCGGGAACAACAATCTTAAGACGAAATCTTGTGATTTAGTAAATTGTGTTTTCTGCACACGTTGGTAAACGGGATGGAGAAGAAGATAGTCTGTCAAAAATCAAGAAGTTACAAAATACAATTGGAGAAAGTTCATTTTCGGACAGAACATGAAGTCCACAGTCCTGCCCCATTTCGAAGGTATTAAAGTCCGAATATGGCAAATTAACATTTCACAAAAGTTGTAGATAATCAAGTTAGCTTTCCATAACATATTAAATCATTACAATCGGAGCTCGTACGAAGAAGTTATGACGAAAATACGAAAGGGTGGCAGAACTGCCGATGCACCTTTTCATATACAACCGTTTGTGACCAATGCGACTTGTCGCATATTAAATGCCTCACAAATGTCCAATGCACGAAATTGTGTTGAAAGAAGACTGAGTCGAAGAATAATGATCAGGTTTTATATTATTTCCGATCCATGAATATTATTTAATATTTTTTTTTGTGGTTCCATTGTTGGTGCATTTTTACAGCACACCTATTCCGACTTAAAGGCTTATTTTGATCATGATTCAGTCCGAATCTCAGAAAACGTAAAATATAAAAGTTGTAGAAAATTATGTTGGCTATTCGGATCATATTGAATCAACAAAATCGGACTTCAGACGAAAGAGATATGATTAAATCATTCAGCACTGCCATAATATTGACACGATTTGTGCTACCCACAAAGTTTGAATTGACGAACATATAATTTATCGGGTACGTTTTTTTAATATCTATTTGTGCAATAAATTGATAATTCTATATGATATAATGATGGATTATTGCATGATAGTTTAATTTTAATATGTGGAAGAATGGTAAACTATATACAATATATTTGCTTAATGAATATTCATTATGTTTGTGTATCTACATTAATGATAGAAATATTTTTATCCTAAATGCAATAAAGTGATATGGTATGTGTTAATTATTTGAATAAGTTATCATAAACCGCATAACGTTTCTCATGAAAATGCAATATTTATTTTCATAAATTGCATATAGTTTTGATACGGGATTAACTTTCCCCCAATTTTCATTTGATGCGGAACCGTCCAATTGATTAATTTTCGAATATGTTATATGAAATTTGAGAGTACGTGATCTTATTAACGTTTTTTGTTATTGTCTATGAACGATTAGACTTGTCTCGTATATTAAGTATGAGTTACTTAGTAAAGATGAATATTACTATACATATTATTATTTGGGTAAGCGATACTAATTCCTTAGAATTGTGCTATTGCATGGACACGCATTGATTACGTGCGATAGAATTTATATCAATTTATTATGTTGGACATGAATTAATTTATGCCATGGAATATAAACTTGATGTTATTATGTATTCGTGTGTATACTATGTATATGTTGATAAAGTATGCTTGATCTATTGATTCTTTCTATAATCAACTAGTATGAACGTCGTGCTCACATGTCAAATATTATGTTTATTATAATATTTATGTACATATGTTTTATATATGAATCATACTATTGTTTAATTAAAAGCATGATTTTAAATAAAATAGAAAGAAAGAGAAGCTCAATTCATGAGAGCACATGAGTAGTTCTTGTTTCAAGAACATAAAAGAAGATCGAGTCGTTGGGTTCGATTTGATATCACATTTGCAAAATATTGATCTACAATGTGAATGGATGAGATCGGATTTTGATTTTTCAAAGATCCGAAATAGTTGTTAACAACAATGGATGTTTTGTTGAAATAAAATTCGAGCAGTTTACTTAAGAGCTCGTTTTGTAGAATTAAATCGTTGGATTTGACTGAATTTTGAACAGCATGTTTAGGACATGAAATCCTAAATTATGAATGATTAAGATTAGAATTTATATATTCTAACTTTAATGTTGAATAGTGGAGATCAACCGCCATTTGAAGAGATTAATATTCTCTTGTTTATTGACAAGATTTAAGTATCTTGACGAATTTTCTCTTTTGAGGAAAAGGAAGAAATCTTACTATCTCATTTGTTGACAAGATTTAAGTATCTTGAGAAGATTTCTCTTTTTGTGATTTCTTGAAATACAATTTCCTTTGTAATTAAATCATATTGGTGATCCAATATATTTCTCTAAATAAAGAAGAAATGTATTTTGTTACATTGTGTATCCTTATTGATAAATAAAAATAAGGATTTCAAAGCATTTAAATGCTATCTGAATGAAAGTTGGAAAATGCAACTTTGACAAATGAATTAAAAAATGAGTATTGAAACTCTTGAAAAAATTTATGGATATCATAATGATAAATTCTAGAATACATACTCTAGAATTTGTGGGGAAAATTAGATATTCCGAGCTAACCACATTAATATTTAGAAATGTGGGGGTCTTTAGGCCCTAAACACATAAATTAGATACCCCGAGCTAACCACATTAATATTTAAAAAATGTGGGGGTCTTTAGGCCCTAACCAGTAATCACATTAATATTTAGAAATGTGGGGGTGTAAGGCCTAGTATAATTAAGTGGATAAATAATGATTGTGCACAAGATAGTCACTCTTGATGCAAATTGATTATATTGTGTTTTCTTGTAAAATAAGAAAATAAATAAGTTTGTTATAAAAGAACTTATAAATGTGTAAGTGGTAAATCATATAAGTTTGTTATAAAAGAACTTATAAATGTGTAAGTGGTAAATCATCAAAGTGATGAACAACCAAGTTAATATATGTGTGAGTGGTAAATCATCAAAGTGATGAACAACCAAGTTAATATATGTGTGAGTGGTAAATCATCAAAGTGATGAACAATCAAGATACAACAAGATGGCAAAGAAAATCAATACGTTTGATTTTGATTTGATTTTATTAACTTATGAGTTATAAAATGAACGATGGACAATTGTCTTCTTTCAAGTAGTAAACCATTAAGGTTTAGATGGACTATTCAAAAGAAGAATTAAAATGGTCGTCCAATTAAGCTAAATTAAATAGCTATGGAAAATCTTGATTATTTATAACAAGATATTGAAACTCGTTAAGTGATTCTAAAGTAATATTTGATAAAACTGTGTTATCAAATAGTTCTCGTAATAACGAGTGTGACCAGTGTGTTTATATTAAAAGCACATGGAAGTGTATGTCCATAGACAACATTATAATCATGAGATAATGATCATGATATTATTTTGAACGTTGAGAAAATATTGAAAATAAAAATAAAATTATGTTTGATGTCAAAAGACGAGGGTTTAGACGATGTAATCTTATAGATTAAAGTCACTAAAACAAAGATAGTCTTATTGAAAGTCTCATGTTGAGATACTACTAGAAAATTGATCTAGTTGTCTAAAAAAAAACCAAGTGTTTACCTTGCCAAAAATAATGATGAACAATGGTTCAATTACAAATATTTTTGGATAGCTTGGCAGCATAATGAATTGCAAACTAGTAAATATGTAATTCCAAAATAAATAATCATTCAATGATATATAAGGGTTCTTAGCTAATCTAAGTATCGCCTTTAAATGGATTACATTAAAGAAAATATCTTATTGTATTAGGAAAGTACATTGGATATTTGAGTCCACTAAGATTATGTATCTTGGAAATCCTCAAACAAAATTGAATAGCTCGATT